TGCGGGGCTGGGCTGGGCGGCCGGGCGTCTCCTTCCCTGCGCTGCTTCGGCCGCGTCTGCAGCCGCCGCGGGACCAGGCGGGAGGCCAGTCATGCCCAGACACTGCCAGCCGCTCGGAAGGAGCCGTCGCTCCGCCGGGCAGTGCCTGCCTGCGCGCCCCTCGCTCCCTGCGCCGAGGATGGCGGGGGCGCCGGGCGCAAGGCAGCGCCGGGGCTGCTGGGCAAGCGGCAGATGCTGATGCAGTTTGGGGAATTCCTGTCACAGGGAGCAAGGCAGAAGCGGATGACGGGGCACGTTCCCCGGGGGAGCGGGGCCGGAGGATTAGCCCGACTCGCCCGCCTCCCTCCCACGGCACACTAGGCAACGTCTGGCGGCACACTAGTGTGCCGCGGAACACTGGTTGGGAAACACTGCTCTAGATGTTCCCAGACTGCCAGTCACATCATCCCGCATTACTGCCAATGTCGACTTGGACTGATGGGAGCTGGAGTCCAAGAACATCTGGAAGGCCAGAGGGCTTCCATCCCTATTCTAATGTGTTAACTTAGCAAGAATAGCAGAGAAAAATATGGAGCATATGTGCCCCACAGTTATGGGACTCTGTGCCTTTGGGGACCCTGCAGGACTCATCCATTGTGATGTGTATGAGAACTCTGAAGATCAAACATTCCTTTTTAACCAGGCCTCTGGTTGATTTGATAGATATCCTATGCCCTTTTAAAGTGTAGTGGGGTTTGGGGGGGGTTATAGGGTTGTTACTTTTATTTTGATCATATATTCTGTGGTTTTATATTTTGATTTTGTTCTGTGAACCACCCTGTGACCTCCAGGTATAGCACAGTATATAAATTCAATAAATAATAACAATCTCTTTTCTGTAGCTTTTAGTGGGTAGTGTGTGCATAGTGAGGATTTTATGCTGTAGGTCCTTGGATTTGAAAAGCTGCCCTGCTCTTCTATTCATTGGATTAATTTACGGAATGTGTTGCTTTTTCTTATTTTATATATTGCAATGTTTGTAAAACAATGGATGCCTCTCTGTGAACAATATTTCTCAAAAAGCAGGGTATAAATTAATAAATAATAATACATTTTAAAACATTAGTTACCGTATTTTTTGCTCTACAAGACTCACTTTTTCCCTCCTAAAAAGTAAGGGGAAATGTGTGTGCGTCTTATGGAGCGAATGCAGGCTGCGCAGCTATCCCAGAAGCCAGAACAGCAAGAGGGATTGCTGCTTTCAATGCACAGCGATCCCTCTTGCTGTTCTGGCTTCTGAGATTCAGAATATTTTTTTTCTTGTTTTCCTCCTCTAAAAACTAGGTGCGTCTTGTGGTCTGGTGCGTCTTATAGAGCGAAAAATATGGTAAGTTGTGCTGTTACATTTTTAGTGGTCGTTTCCACGATATTGGCAAGTGATTAACTGCACATTCATGGTGATCCTTCATCTCACCTGACCACAGCTACATTAAACCAAAATTTTATGATCCCTTAACGAGTGGAACCACTAAAAATGAGGTAAAATAATATTACCATCCTTACGAACATTACAGGTTCTGATCCCTTGAAAATCGGAAGACCTCTCCCCTTTTCCTTATGTTTCATTTTCTAACTAAACACTAACTTCATTTTAGAATGAACATTTGTTATGATTTCTTTTATATGGGTAATGGAGAATGTAATGTGGAAAAAAATGTGTTTTAATGGCTGGTTAGGTTTATATTAAGAATTAGATTGGTGCATCTGATATCTTATGGAGCTTTTATTACATTAGTCAAGTTATCCCAGAGTGTATATTCAAAAGTAGTAACTTGAAAATATCCCACAAGGGTATTAATACAAATAATCTGGTGTCACATTCGCCCCACACGTGGAATGTGTTATCTCATTTGTGATTGATTACCGGTATCTACTATTAACACAATACAGTCTGCAGAGTTAGCTCCACTGGAACCCTCTGAGAGTAATTCACAAACTTGATACTTGCCTAACAAAATCTTATTAGGTACAATGCTGGAGTCCTAATCATGAGTCGTTTTATGCTATAATAAACGCAAAGCCTGTAAAACACTTTGTACTGTGTAAAGTATTATAAAAACAAGAACAACCTAGAAGTAGCTTACAATAGGTAAAGGTAAAGGTACCCCTGCCCATACGGGCCAGTCTTGACAGACTCTAGGGTTGTGCGCCCATCTCACTCAAGAGGCCGGGGGCCAGCGCTGTCCGCAGACACTTCCGGGTCACGTGGCCAGCGTGACAAGCTGCATCTGGCGAGCCAGCGCAGCACACGGAAACGCCGTTTACCTTCCCGCTAGTAAGCGGTCCCTATTTATCTACTTGCACCCGGGGGTGCTTTCGAACTGGTAGGTTGGCAGGCGCTGGGACCGAACAACGGGAGCGCACCCCGCCGCGGGGATTCAAACCGCCGACCTTTCGATCGGCAAGTCCTAGGCGCTGAGGCTTTAACCCGCAGCGCCACCCGCGTCCCTAGCTTACAATACCTTATACTGAATCCATCTTCATCGTCCAGTTACAGGCAAAAGACTTTTCCAGTAGCTGCACCCACCTCCTGTAACGCCCTCTTTCTGGATGTCAAAGAGATAAACGATTACAATATGACTTTTTTATAGACATGTGAAGAGAGACCTATTTTGGCAAGCATTTGACGTTTTGTTGTTCTCCCTTATATTTTGTTGGAAGCTTCTCAGAGCTGCCCAGGGTGTAAGCTTCCCTAACCACCCCACAGCTGGGCTGCTTCTTTTTGTCACTGTTGCAAAAATTCATCTGGTTGAGGGGTAGTAAAATATGCTTTGAGGGGCGGTCTGGTGGGTTAGCCTCCCCTAGCTTACTGCATTCAACACTTTAGAGCATTCTATGGGAGGAAATTGCTTTAATTTTTATCTTGCTTGCTTCCCTTCAACACGTTCAAGGCAGATAACAAGGCTTCTGGCAATGATTGGTCCAGCTGCCCTAGAATTAAGCATGTGAAAATATTCATTGGAGCGCAGGGTTCCTTCATGTTGTCGGGGGGGGGGGGAATGGCATCCCATTACATCTTAGCTGCCTCTACAAAGAATCACAAGGACCTGTCTCACTCGGCAGGGACCCCAGACTTGGGGGAAGCACTTTGTTGGAAGCATCCATCTCTTGACAGGCCAGGTGAGGGTAAACCAGTAGTAACCTGCAGGCAGCTTTGGGCCCATCAAAAGTTGGAGAAGCTTTTTCTACCATTCCCTTTGCATGTGTCTAGTAGAAAAGCTTTGTTGGGCAGTTCCTACTGGTTTTATATTAGAGATCTTGAAGCTAGCACTGCCTTCCTCAGTCCAGATATTTTAGACCAGGGATCAGCAACCTTTTTCAGCCGGGGGCCGGTCCACCGTCCCTCAGACCATGTGGTGGGCCAGACTATATTTTGGGGGAAAATATGAACGAATTCCTATGCCCCACAAATAACCCAGAGATACATTTTAAATAAAAGGACACATTCTACTCATGTAAAAACACGCTGATTCCTGGACCGTCCACGGGTCGGATTTAGAAGGCAATTGGGCCACATCCGGCCCATGGGCCTTAGGTTGCCTACCCCTGTTTTAGACTATTGTTCCCCTCATTCCCCACCAGCATCACCAATGATCAGTGATGATGGGGGTTGTAGCCCAAAATATCTCTAGAATACCAGGTTGGGGAAGCTCAGCTAGCCTAAAGTCCTCTAATACAGGCTTCCTCAACCTCGGCCCTCCAGATATTTTGGGACTACAACTCCCATCATCCCTAGCTAACAGGACGAGTGGTCAGGGCTGATGGGAATTGTAGTCTCAGAACATCTGAAGGGCCAAGTTTGGCAGTGAAATTGTTTCCTCCCCATTGTGTTTCACAGCTCTCCCTCCCAGCTGTTCACATCAGCACGGCTGCCATTAGTTTCTGTTTGTGTGTACACTCGGAGCCATTGACAGGGAGGAATGTCTTTGCCAAGGTGCTCATGTTGGCTGAAGACAAACTAGGAATGGCTCCAAGACTCTGATTGTTGTGAAGCTGGTTTGAGAAACGAAGCATAATAAAGTACCAGGTGCATATGCATTTTGGATTATGTCGTGCAAATATGGATTAGAGACCAGCACTGGGAAAATGTGGCAAATGCACAATAAATGGGAATGTGAACACAGCTCAAGGAAGGGAAATGTATCTGTTTTCCTTCAAATACCAATATTTGTGAACATGATGACACTATTTCCTTCTGCACACAGACGATCTTTGTATAGAAGAAATATCATAAGTGCCTTCATTCCCATACATCCCCATTGGTGAATGGAAAGGAGTACAACTTGCAGAACAATGCACCCTTTGAGGTCATTTAGTGCACAGCTCAGCTGGCTTCATAAATATTACGGGCACGCCAGTGTTCACGTGATCCGCTGCAACAGCTCTTGACACTTTGCCTTCTCACATCAAGCTTGATTGTGATTACATGTTTGTGTGAGACTGACAGCACACTCCCGGGTTCTCTTGGGGCCAGTGGTTTTACTTTGCATAGTAATAGATGGACAAAACGAGCTCCGAACACGGAGTCTGATGCTGTGGTTATCTAGGCTTAGGAAGGGATATAGCCATACAATTGCTTCTTTAACCACTCTATTGAACTGAAGTGGGTGTTTTGCGGCTAGGTTTTGGTCACTGTCCGAAGGGACTCAAATAAACAACCTTAGCCAAGGGAGCGGGGGTTGGGGTGGGGGAAGCCCTGCAGATGAGAAGCTTGTCCAGGCCTCTAGTGGATTCGTTCTTACACCAGAGCATCATTTATGTCTATGTTCTTCCATCTACCTTGTTTGCAGTAAATAGCTGCCCATTATGTCAGGTCAGGCAAGCAACTGTGGCGTCACAGCTCAGCAACCGTGATCAGCTTGCCAAGCGTGGAGGTGAGGGCCTCTGGGGAGCAGCCGTGTGTCAAGCTCTTGTCTGTCAAGGTTCTAAGCGACAGTTTATCTTGAGGGTTTAAAACATCCCTTGCAAACCTTTCCCTCCTCCCCTCTCCTTGTTGACAATCCACTTGAAACAAGACAGATGTTGGGCCAGTTTTCTTTACGGTTGCTCTAATTCCACAAGGTGCAATACACAAAATACAATTCTGCCCTTCTTTAAAGGTTGAAATCAAGTTGGAGACAACTCTCTCTCTCTCTCCCCACACCACCTCACCCCAAACTCTGATGCTGTCAATTTACTATCCTTATGTACAAGTCTTAAAGGAAAGCCTGACTGGGATGGTTTTTTTAGCGAAGTGATAATGAAATAAGGCTTTCCTCCAATTGTGTGCTGCTTTTGTACCGTCTGATAATTCACAACCCACTTTTGCACATCCAAGACTGATAGGAAGGGGCAGAATATATTGCACAGAGGGCTATGTCTTTTCTCTTAGAAATTTTACATCACCTTCCATTGACTCTCACTAAGCAATCTACGCCACAGTCCTTTTAAAAAAAAGAATCGTGATTGAACTAATGTCTTTCATGTACAGTCATACCTTGGTTGCCGAAGGCCTTTGAACTCGTACATTTAGGCTCCTGGACAATTGAAAACCAGAATTGAGTGTTCCAGTTTTCAAATGATTTTCAGAAGCTGAATGTCCAGCGCAGCTTCCACAGCTTCCGATTGACTGCAGGATGCTCCTGCAGCACTTAGGAAGCGGCAACTTGGTTTCCGAACATTTCCGGAAGTCGAACGGACTCCCAGAATGCATTCTGTTCAAGAACCAAGGTACAACTGTATTTGCTATGGCACATCTGATGTCTTACGGTGAGAGGAGGCCCAGCAGGGCCCGCCACACCCTCTGAAAGGCCTGACAGGGGCCCAGTGGGGCCCTCCCAGCTGTGGAATATTGAGGGGGCCTGGTCCCCTCAGTGAAAAATTGGGGGGGGGGGGCTTGGCCCCCACAGCCCCGCATAGGCGGTGCACCTGTTGGTCATTGTAAGATTGGTCATTGTACTTTCAGTTACAGTTGTACCTCGGTTAACAAACACCTCGGGTTACAAACACCTCGGGTTACAGACTTTGGGTTAAGTAGTACCTCGGGTTAAGAACTTTACCTCAGGATGAGAACAGAAACCGTGCGGTGGCAGCGGGAGGCCCCATTAGCTAAAGTGGTAACCTCAGGTTAAGAACAGAATGGACCTCTGGAAGGAATTAAGTTCGTAACCAGAGGTGCAACTGTACTTCAAGTCTGGTGTTGCAGAAAGTGTGCAGAGACTTATTGAAGTTTAGGGCCTGGAACAAGTGGTAGGTGGGACCAAAGATAAAAGTGAGGGGAGCACTCCTCTCTCTTATTCCCCTCCCCTTTGCACACACTCACACACATCCACCCAGACACAGGTGCACCATTTGCACACATCAATTCATCCTGCTATCCTGCAGCCCACAAATTTTAGAATTCACAGGTTTGCGGCACAAAGATGATCACCTTTGGTACTTTGCCGCCGCTGTCCTAGTTGTTACATGCTAGTCTGTGTACTTATTAGCCCTTCCTTTAGGATTCCAAGCCCATATCCATTTTGGAGACAGAGTTATAACAAGGGAGCACTTCAGTCCATAAAAAACAGCAGTAAGGAAGAAAAAGGAAATTTATCACAATGAAATCCTTTCATTACCTTTCGAAGGTACCATAAAAGATGGGTGCGGATATATGACAGAACCGGCTCTTAGCCATTTAAAGAAATTTCCATCCAGTAATTAGGAAATGCCATTATATCTAAACCGATTGACTAAAAATAATAATATATATTTTTTTTAAAAAAATCATTCTTTGCTCTGGTAAAATGCGTTGACCTAATGGATATTCCTCAAAGGTAAGTCAAAGTGTTATGTGATGTTCTTTTATTGATTGTTGATTCTAGGTTTGCCTCTGGGAACAAGAACAGCAAAGAAATGTTCTGAAAGGAAAAAAAGAGTGACCTTTTCCGCAGAGGCATTTTAAACCTGTGTGATGCTCATGTAGCCAACCAAGAATATAATAAAGAGAAAAAAGATAGTGTAACTGTAAGTAAACCAGGGAGAGATGGGTATTTGTGAAGTAATTTTTACAGGAAGAATGTAGAATTGGTATGCTACTTGGTAGCAATAATGAAGAAACCGTTTCCTCATGCAAAGCAATAGTCTTTCATTTTCAGTTAACTTTATGCACATTTTCCATTTTTTTACAGCCACTGGTAGCAGGTGCATTAATCTGTGGAAAATGTCTTGTAATGGCAGGAATATAAAAACATTACCCACTCTTTAATGGTGCTGGTGGTGATAAGACTTATCCCCCACTCCCCTTTGTTTTACTTAGAAGTATAAATTTCAATTAAAAATTATTATGGCTTTCCCACTAATGTGCTTTGCACAAAACTCTATCTTCTCATTCCCTGAAACAAAGAGATATTTATACCCTACTTTTCTTCTGTCATGCCTAAGGCACTGTACGTGTGGTGCCCAAATTGTCTAATTGACTTCTAGTCTACAAGCACTTTTATAATGTGCAGGGAATATGTTCTGTTCTATTTTCCAACAGGTTTCTAAATTATCTTTTAAATATATCTATGGCCCTGAAATTGGAAATGTTGAATAAAACACATTTTTACACCTTAAAAAGGCATCTTGGTTAATAAAAGGAGAAAGAAAAGGTATCAATTTTATGCAATAATAGTAATCATTCCATAATTTTAGGAAGGGTTTGTAACAGTGTACAAATGAAACATGTGGGCTGAGCCCTCACCTAGCTGCTTCTTATAAATTTGTTTGCTCCTTTTCCTAAGCCATCACATATTGAGCAGGCAGGATTTATTTGTAACTTTAAAGAGACTCAAACAATGCATCTTTAATATGGTATATTAAAACCACCCTTATATTCTATAATGCCCTTATATTGCAAAGAGAATGCAGTGCATGCAGCTGACATTTTCTTAAATGTTGCAACCTTACATAGACATTAATAATAATTATTATTATTATTTAAATTGTAATAATAATAATCGTATGTAACATGGCAAAATTTAAGAACATTTCAATTACGTGCGCTGCATTCTCTTTGGAATGGACCTGCAATTAAATCCTAGGACTTGACATAACCGCAAGAGCGTAAGCAGATGCAACCAAGACAAAGGTGCAAATAAATGACCAAAGCAAGTTCTTGCTCATCTTTTAATTGTGACCACTAGCTTGTTCAGCACTAAGGGCAGGGTTGAGAAAACCATGGTCTTTCCAGAGGTTGTTGGCCTACAACTGCCAAGATTGACCTTGCTTGCCGGAGCTGAAACCCAACAATATATTTATGGCCATACCTTGCTTAGGCTAACAGGGCTGTCATATTATACTGCTGTAGCAGCTGCTGCCCTTCCCTTTTATTTCAGTGGTAGTTGTGCCCTCCAGCTTGAAAAGCCTGTTGTTTAAACTAGATGTACAATATGTTTCTGATACTCTAGGAACGACCCTACTGTTATAACAGGAAGAGCTCAGCTCTATAACAAAAACAGCGGGACTGTTAAGGACAATGAAACATGCACTCTACCTCTTGAAAGATAAGCACAGTTTAGTGCTGCCTTATGGCTTAAAAAAAAGAAAGGAAAGGAAAGAGCCATGTAACTAATGTTTGTGTCCATCTCCTGCCTGATAACATCTCTGCTATGTGGGCTTCTGATTGAACAAGATCAGAGCATTTTTCAGAATCACATTTTACTTTGCCTTACAACAAAATGCTGATAAAATCGAGTCTGGTTAGATTACAAGAGATCACAATTTTTAAAAGTCGAGGTACATATTAATACAATAAATCTAGTACCTGCAATATCAAATAACAGGCTGGATAAAATCTTACTCCCTTTTTATTTGGTTGCAAAAATTGCAGGACAATTTTCAGAAGTTTGTTCATCTCTATTGTTGTAGATACAGCTACTGAACGTGTGTGGAATAAAATTAACAGAAAAGAAATGTTCCTTTCTAGAAACATTTCTGTCATGATGGAGGGTCTTAAATGCAATATGAGTCACTTTGACTTACGATGAACCTGAAATTGTCCTGAAATTTTCAGGTAGCTCAAGTAGATATATACATTTAGGAACAAATGATATCTTTGGGGCACAAAAAATATCTTTGGCTCATAGCTAAAATTAAGTGCTTACACATGGATAACTTGAAGGGGAAAAAATCACTTTTGTTGTACAGGTACAGATCTAATATATATTTGATGGTGATCTGTTTGTACCACATCACTTTCAAAGCAATGTGCATTTAGATGAAAATCAAAGTGCCTTTTCTATTGAAAATGATATACTCATCACATATAACTTGGGCCAGTTCTGGGGTGGGCAGAGAACATGCACCTTTTGGCATGCACACTACAAGACTAAATCATCCACCTGCCCTGAGTTGACAATCGGCTTTTTATTTTGTTCTGTGTATATTGCAATGTTCTTTTGTTGCTATGGCCGATGGCTGATGCAAATAAAGATTCATTCACTCATTCCCTGCTCCAGCTGAAAATATTGTTTGCTGTCACCACCTTGTCTAGCAGGCCTGTGGAACATGCAAGCAAGTGGTTCTAAGAGGCAGCCAAGCCCAGGAACCCAGGGTAATTTTACATAGGAACATCAGAAGGTACTTTATACAATTTGACCCTCTTTAACATGCTTCTTAATATATTCTGCTATTTTCTTACACTTCAAATCCCCTCTGTGGTCTTCACATATGGGAAATAACTTATAAAATAGACTAGAAAGGGTTTCCAGTCTTCTTTAAAGAATTCTAAATTAACTGCCTCTTATCAGCGCAGTCAGTTTTGCCACCTGTGCAAATAAGTTCTACTGTGAAGAGTACATAGCATAACTTGTACTAAAAAGATGTGGTTATCAGCTGGTTCATATGCTGCAAAATCCTTAGTGGAGCAGCCCTGTGGATGCACAGAGGAAACGACATATGAACTGGCATTGCATCAGAGGTGGTGATAGCCACTTTCTTAATTTAGGTTTTACCCACCACACAGTGGTGGCTGGTGCCCATTGAAACAGGCAGAGTGGAAGGCAGATAGAGCAACGGGAATTGGAGACTGAGCCAATGATGGGCAGAGCCAACTAATTTCAGTTTCATCCCCATCCTCCTCCCTGCTGAGTTCTGCAAGGGCAACAGTGAGACTAAGGAGAAGGAAACTGACACCCAGGTGCACCCCCTTTGTTGTTGTTGTTTAGTGGTGTCTGACTCTTTGTGACCCCATGGACCAGAGCATGCCAGGCACTCCTGTTTTCCACTGCCTCCTGCAGCTTGGTCAAACTCATGTTTGTAGCTTCGAGAACACTATCCAACCATCTTGTCCTCTGTCGTCCCCTTCTCCTTGATCTTTCCCAACATCAGGGTCTTTTCCAGGGAGTCTTCTCTTCTCATGAGGTGGCCAAAGTATTGGAGCCTCAGCTTCATGATCTGTCCTTCCAGTGAGCACTCAGGGCTGATTTCCTTCAGAATGGATAGGTTTGATCTTCTTGCAGTCCATGGGACTCTCAAGAGTCTCCTCCAGCACCATAATTCAAAAGCATCAATTCTTCGGCGATCAGCCTTCTTTATGGTCCAGCTCTCACTTCCATACATCACTACTGGGAAAACCATAGCTTTAACTATACGGACCTCTGTTGGCAAGGTGATGTCTCTGCTTTTTAAGATGCTGTCAAGTTTCTATCAAGAAACAGATGCCATGACAAGGCAGTGATCCATGAAGGAGGTGCACCCCCCTAGGGTGGTTGTAATAGGCAAGAAGGGGAAGCTGACTCAGCAGAAAAAGTTTGGTGGGGCAGTGCCCCATCTATCCTAATAGATCCACTATTAACTCCACTGCCACCCAAAATGCATCCAGCTGGTGTAGTACAGGCCCCTTTGATAGGAAACAGGCTGGCATTGGATACAGAAGACCCAATGCTCATCCTGCTCTGCCCCCAGAATGCCTCTTTTTCTGACTTTACAGTCTCCAAGATTGGCAGGATTCTGGCCAGTTGTAACCTGACAGAAGCTCACACCTTGGGTGGTAGTGTAGTGATCTCAGGCAGGCAAGCAAGCCTCAATAAGAATTGATGACTCTCTGGCAATTTTATGGTACATTTATTTACAGAGTACATCCAGCACACGGTTTCCAGCCTGCCGCTCTTGAAAATGAGTTGGTCAGTCTGAGTCTCCATCCCAGTCACAGCAGGAAGGACACCAAAGCCCTGCCTTTCCCCTCTTGCCCTTCTGTTGCATTCTGACCTTTTCAGCTCTTCAAGATTGGGGGCTAGGAGGGTGGGAATTATCCCCATTCTCAAAGGAAGAACTCTCTGGTGGTTGCCTAGCAACCCTCTCACTGTTGTCTATCTCTCCCCCTTCTTGTAAGCTATCTGTTCTAGCTAAGTCAGGGAACTCTTTGTGAAGGAAGGTCAAGCCCAATTCCTCCTGCTCTGTCTGCGATCTTTCATCTCCAGAGCCAGACTCTGTCTCTTTCTGTCCACCTTCTGAGGCCGACTCTTCCCCTGCGGTCAATTCAGCCACATCACTTACAGGTGGAGCCCTCTCTGTTGGTGGATGGAAACTTCTGCCAAATCCTAACCTCCAGCAGAGGCATGGATCAGGGGTTAGAATTGTTCTGTCCAATGGTTTTAAAACAAGATTGGACAAATTCATGGCTATATGAAATCTCCACTGAATACCAGCCACTGAAGAGCAATGGCATGATGGCCTCCTTGTGGACTTGTCTGAGGCACCACTGTTGGATGCTGGACTTGGTAGAACGTTGACCTTATCCAGCAAGACTCTCCTTATGTTCATATGACTGTGATGCCAACATCACAGCTGCTCCTCTCATGCAGAGCACTACCAAGAAGCAGCGCCTGTCACCAGCTCATATGCTTGCACCATTATCTTCATGGCTGCATCCAGGGGACCGATATTTTTAGACCATATGAGCCAGCCCTGTGTGCAGCCTGTTCGCAATATGAGAATCTCTTCAGGACTCTGTGAAATGCAAGAGATAGGTAGGAATGAATGCAATGAATGATGCAAATAGTTGTGTATCTCTAAAGATCACATGAGCGGAAAATCCCATTCGCACATATTCTGCAAACAACTACTGAAGAAATAACTCCTGCCCCATAACATATAATGAGAAGTAACTATTGCATATATTGTAGTTTGCGACTGTTCTCAAGGTGTGCTTAATGCAAACCAAGCTGTGTTCATTTGCTTTGCAAATGTTCCTGCTGAGGTTCATATTTTAAAATTTCATTTTATTACAGATATTAACAATGATGCCACGAAGAGTAAACATTCTGCTATTGCATCCTGATTGCCAGGAGAAAGAAAGTAGAACAATTTCATTCCTCCTGAGCCGGTGTATACTGATTGATTCAAATAAAGGGGCCTTTGGGGAAAACAAGAACATTCTCAACTAATTACAGTTTTGCATATTTTGTTAATTTGTGAAATTCAGGATACACCCTACTGGTTTATAGATATTGTTTTGACAAACCAAAGATTATGCTGATGAGCAAACTGTTGCAGAAGACAAAGTAAACATACCTATTAAAAACGTTTGGTGTTACAAATATAAAGATATGTTATCTGGAAATTGTAGAGCTAAACGATTGAAAATTTGCTAATAACCAAATTCCAGTGTAATAGCATTGCACTTGTCAAGTCCGGATGTTAAAGTATTTCTGTTCTCTAGTAGCTTAAATCCCATCCAAGCCTATATTTCTGTACTTCATCTGTATGTAAAATTTAGTGAGATTTGATATGCAAAGCCCAGTTCCCTTTCTTGCCTCAACTGCTGCCTATTATTGGTATAGAACAAAGTCAATGGAAAGTTAACTAGCTACATAAGGAATCCATGACTCCCCTGAAGATGAAAGTAACAAGCATAGTGTAAATCTATTTCCTGTTCATAATAGCAATCATTCACTTCACTTCCTATAACATATACAAGTATAATTAATAACACAAAGCCCTTAGAAAATCAGGCTCAGAGGAAAAAAATTCAGAACTAATGCAAACGTTCTAATGGTCATTTCAAAGCATTCCTTAGCCAACGAGAGTCGCTATCTGTTGTCATCAGAACATGGCAGCTGTTTATGAAGGCCTCATTCTGTGATCCTAGCTAGTATGCATGAAAATCTAGAATAGTTCCTGGTGAGTCGTAAGATTAAATTTAACTTTATGTTTTAATATGTAAAGCAGTGCTGCTGGCGGGGCTGATGGGAGTTGTAGTTCAAAACATCTAGAGGACACCAGGTGGGTGAGAGCTGATGTAAAGATGTAACCTCCTTGGCAGCAGAACACATCCTTGAATTTCCACTGAAAGCAACGGGACTTATTTTGTACCTCTTCATGTTAATCCTTCATTCATCCCTCACATTACAGTGCATTCAGTGCATTTTCCTGTTACATTGCTAACAGCAAACAGTCCATGTGTGTGTTTTTAAATAGTGGATTTAGCGTGCTAGGGCTACTGTAATTTACTTTGATCTACTTTCATTTCCAGTATGTGCTGGAAATTCCGCTTGTAAAATATGGACAATCTTTTCGAATCATGATATGGGTCTCTCATTTCCAAGATTATCCGCATGTCACTAGTGAAGGCAGACACACACCCATCCCCATGTTTAAATGTAGATAAATAGCCAACCTAAAAGTTAATGTGATGTTAGCATTTCTGAAGTACAGTGGTACCTCGGGTTACATACGCTTCAGGTTACAGACTCCGCTAACCCAGAAATAGTAACTCGTGTTAAGAACTTTGCTTCAGGGTGAGAACAGAAATCGTGCTCTGGCGGCGCGGCGGCAGCAGGAGCCCCATTAGCTAAAGTGGTGCTTCAGGTTAAGAACAGTTTCAGGTTAAGAACGGACCTCTGGAATGAATTAAGTACTTAACCTGAGGTACCAATGTATCTAGAAATGATTTCGAACCTTATTGTGCTGGAAAGCAGAGGCAAACTCTTGTCCTCACGCATTTTCTTCCTCTACTGCGAATGCTCATACTTCTCCATAAGCTACCTGACTTCTGTATAATGCACCTAATTAATGATATTTACAACGGTGAATTTTGAAACCAAAATGAATGATTAGCAAGCCTTCCCTGGGTTGTCTCTCAGAAAGATAGAACTTCCTCCAGGCCCGAAGGCAAACGATAACTCTTGCCATGTCGCTCTTTTCGGGAATGTAATTCATGATCTGCTTGGAAAGATTAACACACCGCATGGATGAAACAGCTTTTTCTTTTTGTCTTGATTCCTGATCTGAGGCTGTTTTAAGTTAACTATCAATGCAGTTAATAAGTACAGTGGCAGCCGCTGAGCAGAGGACATGAGCAGCCTAGCAGAGGAGGATGCTTTGACAGAAAATGGACAGGTACAGATCATGTTTTGCAAAGCATTCTATATGGAGCCTCTGCTGTGGCATGGACTCGGTGGCCATCAGTCTCTGTAATAGGTTGCATCCAACTAAGTTACCTTCAGAATAGACCCATTTAAATTAATGGACCTAACTTAGTCATGTCCATTAATTTCACTGAGTCTGCTCCAAGTATGGCTAACATTAGTGCAACCAATCACCTGCCACTTCACATTGTCTGTTCATTACATTGGTAATGCCAGGATTGGCAGAGTAGATATAAATAATCAGCATGAATGAATAAGGTGGTACTTGCTGAATTATATGTTTTAGCCCCATTCTCAGCAATCTCATTACAGTCAACTCGCAATGGGGCATTAGGGTAGTGCTACTGCATTCCTGCTCGGGTCTCCATGTGTTTGCATCTGTGTAGACCAGGGGTCAGCAAGGCTTACCTTGCCATGGGCTGGATTGCGGGCACGCGTGACTGCGTACACCCACGATTTCCAGCGTTGGTGTCTGTGCAGACACGTTTTCCGGCATCTGCGTCTGCGCAGACACGTTTTCCGGCGCCACGGAAGCAAGTCCCCGCACCGCGCTGTGCTGGTTTAGCGCAGCGTGCGGGGACTCGCCAAGCAGGCGGCTCGGTTTGGGGGCAGCTCGGGGGCTGGTAAAATGACCCCGTGGGTCACTTGTGGCCCATGGGCCTTAGGTTGCCGACCCCTGGTGTAGACACTGTGCATGTGAAATGCCTCCCCCTGTGACAGGGACTGGCAGGGCTCCGAAGAGTGTGTGGAGGAAGCAGGAGAACAGGGGAGTGACCCAGAAGAGGGAGCCAGTGATTTATGGGGTATCACACCACCTCCAAGGCAGGAGCCAGGGAGATAGGTAACAAAAAAAAGGTAAAGGACCCCTGGACAGTTAAGTCCAGTCAAAGACGACTATGTAGTTGCGGCACTCATCTCACTTCAGGCCGAGGGAGCCAGCGTTTGTCCACAGACAGCTTTCTGGGTCATGCAGCCAGCACCGTGATGGAAACCAGAGTGCACGGAAATGCCGTTTACCTTCCTATTTATCTACTCACACTGGTATGCTTTCGAACTGCTAGGTTGGCAGGAGTTGGGACAGAGCAACGGGAGCTCACCCCGTCTCACGGATTTGAACTGCCGACCTTCCGATCAGCAAGCCCAAGAGGCTCAGTGGTTTAGACCACAGCACCACTTGCTCCAGGGCAGGAGGAAGAGTCAGGGCAGTCCAAGGAAGGTGAGCAGAATATGGCGGAAGGTGAAGGGGCAGGTCAGGTGAGGGACAGGTCAGTAGATTCCATACCTTCCCCCAGACTACTGTCTCCTAGAACCAGGAGGGGCTATGGAAGCTACTGTGTTTCTCTTGCCATAATGTGTTAATTATCAGACATGTGCCTTCCTTATCTGGGATGGGCCACACCACCCTGCTTTTTATGAGTAAAGATCAGACTTTTGATCTTTGACGTGTAGAGGTTACAGCAAACATTCGGAAATCAGGGCAGGATGGGCACAGAATGGGCAAATGTGATCCTGTTCCGCACTTACTGTACCCAGTTGGTATGCTCACATGTAATCATCTCACTGCATCTCTCCTCCATTGGGACTGGAACAGGGTTATGGCCAAAAGCATATGGGAATGTTCAAGAGAGGACTGGCATAGAACATACATAGTGCTGGCAACACCAACATGCATAGCACTGCTGCTTAATTATGTCTCAGTTACTGCCAACAAACCACAATAAGCCCTGGTTTGTGGTTGGCTTATGAACATTGGTTTGTTTCAGCAATGGGCTGGTGCTTTGTGCAAACCTAGCATCCTTCCTTAACCATGGTTTGTTTGGCCACAGTCACCCCAGATCCTTGTTAAGCTACAAAGGCCACAAGGCAGTAACAGCTGCACAGATCCAGCTCAAGACATTTTGCTGCCTTGGGTAATGGGCAAGATGGCACCCTCCCTTAAGGCACACACAGAAGCCAATTGGATTGGTGGTTGAATCTTGCTCCTGTGCTGGTGAAAACATTGTCTCTTCCACTACCTTTGAAGGCAGTGGGCTAGGTTAGCGGGGTACAGAGTAGGTCACATGGCACTTGCAGCTCTGGCCATTCCTCACAACCTCAGCATTTGCTGCCTGAGGCAGCTGCCTCCCTCTGCCTCATCATAAGGCTAGTCCTGTAGCTGGAAAACAAGCAAAGCTTTCTCAAAATAAGGTACAAGCTGTGCATAATATGCACATAATGTGGGCCAGTACACTGTCTTTGAAAATGTTAGGAATACGGAAAGCAAGAACTGTGTCTTGCAAAGAGTGGCCTTAGGCAGTTTGGAACTAGCAATGGTCCCTAGGAACCAGCCTGCTCTGTCAGTGTCCCGGGTCTCACAATATTCTCTCTTTCAAAGCTTCAGTCCTGCAAACTGTCAGCGAGAGGATTCTGAGCTCAATGCGCCGTCGCTTCTGCGTTCTTATTAATCTCAGCGCAGTAATGAAAAACGTCCGAGGCTCATTCTCATTCATGGTGGGCAGCTGTACAACAATTTGTTTCACAACCAAAAGTTGACAGAACAAATCCAAAACAACTCTGTGTACATGTTTACATGAGAGGCTATTGGCATCGACAGAGCATTTGAAGGTGTGCTGGAAGTCCCTTATGCTTTTTGTAACATTTTCAAATTCATTGCTGTCTTCAGGATGACAGGAAATTCAGGTCTGCCTCCCTCCTGGGAGATCTTTATTCACAGACAAGTCAAAAACCCTTGACAAAAGGCAACCAAGGGAACTTGTTGACCTTTTAGCTGCCTGTCTAACATCAGTGCAAGTATTGCTCTCTGATAAAATGAGAAATTCAATTTAAGGGGAAATTTAGCAGGCATTTGAGTAGGCTCTCATATTATTTTGCTTCTCTGCCTGTCTTTCAAAATAGAAAATAAATGTAAATAAATAGGACTGTGTGCCATCCATTCTCAGCCCTGGAGAGCAAAACAAGCAGAGCTATACTGAGTGGTAATTCCTTTGCTACAACTTCCCACACCTATTTATCTTCCATTCCATCCCACTCCTGGCTACCATTTTGTTTAAACAAGTTGCACGTTCTTTTCTCACCAACATTACTTCTTTAATTTGTGTTAATGGCTT